CAGACCTGCAGGCGGCTTGTCCGGGTCCTGCTGCCTGCGCGTGGGCTACCACCCGCCGCTTCTGCAGCATGCTGCCTGCGGCCCTGCTGCTGGGAGGGGGCCGTCGGTGCCTCGTCCTTCTACAGGGGGGCGGCTGCCAATGACTGTCAGAGGCCCAGTGAACGTACAAGTTATTCTGCTCACTTAAGGAGGAAATAGACTTAGAATCTTGGCATGCTGAGGTGTGGGAGGGGGACAGGATAATGGGGAGGAGGCCTGAAGTGGCTTTATTACTAGTTTCAGGAGCCTAGCGTAAGATGGTGTGCCTCTGAGTAGAGCACCCTTACTATTTCATTACTGATAAAACATGTTTTATTTTTCTTCGTATAGTGGTGGCAGAGGGTTTCCTTTTTTACCTTCATTTCCCTGTGTTTGTTTCCTGTTTATGTATTTTGCTTTGACTAATCCCTTCCTAAATACTATAGAACTCTAACACAACTGGTGACTTGTTGGACTAGCAAATGAGGGTGCCAGAATTCTTGTTTTTCATGTAATCACTCCTGCTGACTTTCTTAATAGGCATACGGCCGCCTATTGTCAATGGCCCAATGCCAGCACGGCCACTGGTTGCACTCCTGGATGGACGAGATTGCACTGTGGAGATGCCCATCTTGAAGGATGTTGCTACGGTGGCATTTTGTGATGCTCAGTCAACTCAGGAAATCCATGAAAAGGTGGGCAAGAAAACGTGCAGCAGGCATTCAGACGCAGAGCTCTGCCCCTTAGAGTAACCAAAGCAGAGATTGATTTGGACTTTTTTTTGTTGTAGGTGCTGAATGAGGCAGTAGGCGCTCTGATGTATCACACCATTACCCTTTCTCGTCAGGATCTGGAGAAATTCAAAGCTCTCAGGGTCATTGTGCGTATTGGGAGTGGCTATGACAATGTTGACATCAAATCTGCTGCAGAATTAGGTATGATGACACCATTAGGGCTCTGTCGTGATCAGAACTGAATGTGAAGTGGAATACTGCACATGTTTTTCTGTTTTATAGCTGAGTGTATTTAAAACCTTTTATGTAAAAAGATTTGAAGCTGCTTAGTATCAGGCATCTTTAGGAAGCTGACCAATATTGGAGCTGGTAGGTGGCTTGAAAGATTTTCAGTTTTCAGATTGCTCCACTATAGGTGTTAGTGTCTTTGCTATTTTTTGGCATTCAGAAACCTGAGTATGGTGTCTAGGTAACTTTTAGTGAGGTGGCTTTGAGTTGTTTGTGGGCAAAGGATTGAGCAAACTCTGAAAGCAGCCTACAAATGCTGATGCAGGGTAAACTAAATGCTTGATAAGTGAGTTTTCCTGTTAATTTTTTATATGCACGTAGGTTCTGATTCAACACTTTATTATTGATCCCTTTAGAGCCCTAGGCACGTGAGGAATCTCTGGATCAGGTGACAAAAGCTGCTATTTATTAAACATATGGCAGTGAGACTTCTGGACCTTGTAGTCTCCTAGGTGAGGTGGATCATCTAAGTACCCTGCTCCTTCTTTTTTAGGTTTGTGTCAGTGATTTGAAACTTTTCTTCATGTAATGCAAATCAGATTAAGCTTAAGTCATATGCAAGTATTTATATATAAAATTGGAAAAGGCAGTAAAATTTCTGGATCTGTAAGAGCAGTTGAATTGCAAATAAATGAAGAGTGCATGTTTGTCTAGTGCTTGAATTGGGTCTAAAGAGTTTTCTCTGAATGATTCAACTGAATAGTCTCAAGAGTTCCTGGCAAGGTCTTATCCAACCATTACATTTTTGGGCTGGGTTTGGAACCTAATCTACTCTTAGGATTCTCTACTTAAAGTCACCATCCGTGTCTTTGATTTGCTAAGATTCAAAGCTTTCCATTTCCCCCTGCTCCACACTCATTAACCCAAGGAGAAATGGGTCAAAGTTTTCTCACCCTTAAGCTGCTATTTGGCACTTCTGCTTTGGAGCAATAGAATGATGACTTATGCATGGCCAGATTTGCTTTTTCATGGACAATTAATTATTATTTTCATGCTTAGCCAGGCCCTTTAATTCATTCTGAGGTAAGATACTGTTCCTTATGTGTTCTGAATCTTCAAATCAGACCAAAGGGCTGTTGTGCGTGTGTTTGCACTTTCTTACATTTAAGCATAATATTGCACATAAACACAAATTTGTGTCTAGCTGTGTAAGAGACAAATCCATGTGGCTTGTTTGAAGTTGAATGACATGGTAACCAGTGAGATTAAAAGAAGTTAGGTTTCCCTATCTCCCCCCCCCTTCTTGTCCTCTGAGTTGTCTGTGTGACATTACGGCACAATTGCAAAGGATTTGATAGAGAAAAGGAGTCAGGTATCTGGGACTGTGTGTGGCCATTGCTCTCCTAGCTTTCTTGGGAGAGCATGGCCTGAGTTTAGTTGAATGTCTCCTCTGTAACAGGCTTACAAAAGAGTGACGCACAGCTGGATTTTATGTGTCTTCAACCATTGCATAGATTTTATTCCTAGATTTTAGATGGGTAGTGGACTTTTGAGGAGGAAAAGTTTCCTTGGTTTGGCAAGTCGCTAGGGTTATGTTTGGGAGGAGGCCATTTTTTCATCTAGTTATTTTTATTTATTGACTGATTTGTTCAATGAAGGATAGCAGCAGTGAAAATGGAAGTGGTATGTTGCCAGGCTGCATCCCCTATTTTTTTTCTTTTTTTTTTTTTTTTTTAAATAGACTGCTCAGGAATGACCAGATTTTGCAGCAGTGTTCCATGTTTCCCTTTCCTGACAGTAATTTGTGCTTCCAGGACTTTGACTCTGTTTGCATTAGTAATTTACCTGATAGTTCTAGCCATGGGTTTTATGGTCCCTTGTGGTTGTATGTTATCCTAGAGTGTGAGTGTTATGTGTTGTTAAGTGTAACTTAAAATGGATTTAGAGAGGCTCCTGTGGCTTCTCTCTGCATTTAAGGAGTTAGTTACTTATTGTTGCTCCTGGGGAAGCTGATGCTTGCAGTGAGCATCTGGACTGTGAGGCATGGAACAGCTCAACCATCTGTCTTAATTCTTCTACAGTCTGCCAGTTAATCTGCCAGAAGTATCTCTGGAACTAGTGCATCTTTTTGGATGCAGATCTTCTAAAACAGTCAAGTTTCTTGCATCACCTTATGACCCAGTTTTCTCATTTCAGCCTGTTTTTTTTCTGGTGAGTGTGTCAATCAAATGGATATTTATAAGGAAGGAATGGTCTTTCCTTGGGGCTAAAAAGCTGGCTGGTTGCATCTATGTTGCTGTAAAATGAGCTTCTGAAATGAATCCTGTGTTTCTTGGCAGTAGTTCTGGAGCACTGAATTATCTTTCAGCACTTATGCCTGTAAGAGCTTTATGTTGATTTAGTGTTGTGATACTAAAAGTCTTATATGACCTCTATGGCTTTGTAGGCATTGCAGTTTGCAACATCCCTTCCTCCTCAGTAGAGGAGACTGCTGACTCCACCCTCTGCCACATCTTGAACCTCTATCGCCGTGTTACTTGGCTGCATCAGGCTATGCGGGAAGGGAATCGAGCCTCGAGTGTAGAACAGATTCGAGAGGTGGCTGGAGGCGCTGTGCGTATCCGTGGGGAGACTTTGGGCATCATTGGATTAGGTAAGTTAAGGGAATTGTTAGATTGAAAAGTAAATTGTGAAAGTTTTTGGGAACCCAAGAGTCACAGACTGAAAAAAGTGATAATTTTACAGCTGTTCATTGTGAAACACACTGACTCATAAGGAATGCTAGTGCCCTATTCTGTGATGCTGGATATCTTCAAAAGTTGGGTGTATATCATGGGATTGGGGATTTTTTTTTTTTTTTTAATTCAAATGCCTAGAAGAATTGGAACATTCAGACAGCTCTTCTTGGTGACTGTTTTCCTGTGTGCTAGGCTCTGTATCAGTAACAAAGCTACCAATTCCTTCTCCAAGTTCTTGTAATCAGATTATTACTGCCTCTGACTCAGAGTCCAGATTTGGTTTGAAAAACAGCTCCTTCTAGGCTAAGCTCTGGCTATTGCATGGGGAAGGACTAGAATTAGCCACATGGGATCAGCACTGAATAACCTCCTCTGGATCCCTGTGGCAATCCTAGGGGTTTCCAGGGCTGCAGTACCTTGAGCCCTGGCAGTAAATTCCAGTGTAGGCTCCCAGTCTACCCCAGTATCTTGTCTTTAAAGTTTGTTTTACCTTTCCTTGATGATTGTGGGTTTTCTTTTGTGAAGGCCGAGTTGGACAGGCAGTGGCTCTGCGAGCCAAGTCCTTTGGCTTCAACGTGATTTTCTATGATCCCTATCTGCCGGATGGAGTGGAGCGATCCTTGGGTTTACAACGAGTAGGAACCCTGCAGGATCTACTAATGCACAGCGATTGCATCACATTGCACTGCAGCCTGAATGAACATAACCATCACCTCATCAATGACTTCACTATTAAACAGGTGCAGCAGGAGCTTGATTTCCCCCACAGAGCACTGTGGAAATGAATGCAAACAGAAACTGCTGCTTTCACAGAGGCTGAGAGCATGTGAATCCTGCTGCCTCTGTCGTGTGCCTCCTGCTGCCTTTGGAGGCTGGGAGCGTGTGGATCCGGGTGCCTGTGCTTTGTGCTGTATAGAATTTTGTGTTAAGAAAAGAATAGGATTGGCTCTTTTTGCCAAGTAATTTCATTTATAAAGAATGTTTTAGGTGATTCATTCAACTTCAAATTACTTTTAAAATGCACAATTGACTCTGTTGGTTAGAGCCAGATGTGGTGTGGCTGGGACTGTGTAAGTTTCTTTACACAGCTCTGCCAAAGCCTCTCTGCCCAAGCCCACTGCAAAGTCAGTCTCGGGCTCTACTCCGCTAGTCTATGAGTGCTTTTCAGTGCTTTCATGAGAGATATCTGGACGTTGTAGTCCAGTTTTGTATAGCTGGATACTTGATTCATGTCCTCTTTCTTTTTTAATGTAGTAGGATGAATATGGAGTGCAGAACTTGAGAGTTCCACTTTTGCCCTTACTGTCTTGTGGTTTTGTTTGTTCATTTTCAAAGCAAATTTCTCAAGCATCGCTTGCAGGCATTTCCCCTGTGGTTAGCTTTGCAGTGAGAGCACTCCTAGTCCATCCAGGCCTCATCTAATCACTGCAGGCTCCTGCTCATTTCCAGTAGACTTCCCAAGATTCACTTAGCTTCCATGAAAAGTCTCATTCTCAACCCACTTAATATTTTTCTTCTTCCAGATGCGTCAGGGCTGCTTCTTAGTGAACACAGCCCGAGGAGGGCTGGTAGATGAGAAAGCCTTAGCGCAAGCTTTGAAAGAGGGAAGAATCAGAGGAACAGCATTGGATGTGCATGAGTCTGAGCCTTTCAGGTAATGTTGAACCTGCGTCCCTGCTGCTATCCTGTGACTCGCCTACGCTGGATGATTCTTTTGTGTTTTTTGTTATTTGAGTTAGTGATACCCGAGAGGATAGATGGATTATCACTTCTGGAGAGAAACCACCTTTTTTTGGGTTTTGTTTTTTTTTTCCTCCCCACAGCTTTGCTCAGGGGCCCTTAAAAGATGCACCCAATGTGATCTGCACTCCTCACACTGCTTGGTACAGCGAGCAGGCTTCCATTGAATCCAGAGAAGATGCAGCTAAAGAGATCCGCAGAGCTATTACAGGTAATGAGGAAGACTGTATGCTCTGCAGCTGCTGTTGAATTAGTATTCTTTTGTTAGTTCACTGAAAGGATTATGCTGATTTTTCTGAAAACTTAGACTCAGTAACTGGTTTCTGGAACTGGAGCATAAGTTGATAATTGTCTCTTTGCCTTCTGAGAATCTTGTAACTAATGCTGGAGTGGCACTTCCCCTCCCTGGGAAAGCCTTGTACCCTAGTACATCTTCCAAATCCTTTGCAATAATTCCTTTGACAGTTACGCAGTATACCTTTTTACTGGAGTAGTACATATTGTCTCTTGGAGAAAGTGAGACTTGGAAATTGCAGTTTGTGGCCAGTAATTTCCAAAAGATCACAGAAGTGGGAAGGAAGGATCAGTTTCTTGTCTTCTCCAGAGACCAGTTGTTCAGAGGAGAGTCTCCCCTGCCCAGTGTTAGCCTGTGGAAGTAGGTAGAAAAGATGTTGCACCTTTCCTTTCTAGTTACCTTTGTAAATGCTTCAGGGAACAAGCCCCTCCTTCTTGTGTCCTGTTTTTTAAAAAAATGCAGGTCACATACCTGATGCTTTGAGGAACTGTGTTAATAAGGAGTACTTGCTGTTAGCAGCTCAGTGGTCCAGTATTGATCCTGCAGCTGTCCACCCAGAACTCAACGGAGCTGCAGCCTACAGGTGAGATATGTAGGTTGCCCAAGTTACTGCTTCCAACCATGTCTTCCTACTGAAGTAGGCCAACAGCCCTTTTTGGGTTTGAGAACTGCTTGTACTTGCAAGCAGGTATGTTTCTGTTCCTATATACTTTGTGTATGAGCTCTTTCCAGAAACTTAACAGGAGTACTTCTGAAGCTGTACTAGGATTTAACATTTACTTGGTCATATTTAATTCCAGCTGCATATTGGTTAATTTTTCCAAATCCTTGCAAGACCTGCCCGAGAGATACCTTAATATAAGAAAGCCTGCTGGGTGCCTGAAAAGAGGTCTGGATCTTAACATTTAGAAGTTGTGCATATCACTAGGGCTGTGTAAACAAAGCACAGTTCTTATCTGTACCCCAAATATGGACTATTAAAGAGACATTGTCCAGTGGATTTGGGCAGTGGCATAAATACACTGTATTTCAGTTTATTTGTCTGTTACAGACCTGCCAGGTGATTGTGGCAGTTTACTTCCCTTCTGTTTTTCTCCCATCTGCAAAGTAGGAAATACATTCTCTTCCCTTCTCTGAGAGATCTATAGAGGTTCAGATACATTTATGGAGAAGGCACAGGGAAGCAGAATGGAAGTAATGGAAGAATAGTTCATTAGAAAATGATGAGTATCACTCTCCTATTTTTCATCTTACGTCTAGCTCTTTTATTAGTTCAGCTCCTTACTTTTTCTGTCTTAGAGTCCAGTGGAGGATAACTGGCAGCTTGCACTCTTCCTGCCGATAGGGAGGGAATTTTCAGCTCCTCGGGGTGCCTTCATACAGTGCCTCACACTGTTTTCCACTGGAGATAAACTTTGTACCTGTTTTCCAAATGCTTAGTATGTGACCTGAGACTATCTCTGCCTGTCTGAGAACAGGTGTCATTTGGTATTAGGATATAACTGCCACTCGTCAGCTCTGGAGACTTTTCCTGTGTTCTGTCTCAGAGCATTTCTGTTAAAAAGGGGGGTTTGTATTCAGCAGGTGCCTGAGGGCATGTCTCCTTTCCCCTTGCATAACTCTGTTGGACAAGCTTGTAATTTCTGTGTTTCTGTTGGTTTTAGGTTTCCTCCGGGAGTAGTGGGAGTAGCCACCCCTGGGCTACCAGAACCACCAGTAGTGGAGGGGATTGTAGCTCATGGGATCCCTCCCGTTTCTCACTCTGCACCGACTACCCCTTCCCCAGGAGAGACGAGCAAACTGGATGCAGACAGAGAAATTCCTGCAAAAAAAGTCTTTCTCTCCTCTAGCAGCAGAAAAAAGTAGGAGGGTATCTCCTCCTAGGACCTTCTTTAACACCCTACAGAGACTGTTTCCTGTTCATACAGGATGGGAGAATGCATTTCATTACTGGCAAACTTTAGCTCTTGCCTTTATTTTGTAACCCTTTAGTTTTAATCTCTCAATGAATCTTTCTCCTTCTCTGGGGCAGGGCAGCAGTGACCTTGCCTCCCCTCAGAAATACTTGGTTTAATGAATGAGTTTTTCCATATATCAGCTTTGGTTGTCTGTGACAGGGAACTGTCCTTGTGCACTTGAAAATAGAAGTGGAGCTGTCTGATCAGGGATAGCACTCAGTGTTTCTAACTCCAGACTTCAGTGCACACTTTTTGGTTGTGACTTGTAGCTTAAATTTAATTTGGCTGAACCTCTTTAAGTGTAGCCATGGAGAATATTAGAAAAATATTAGTGGATTGGAGAAGTTGTGACTACTGTCTTTATTATACCCTTGGTAGAATTCAGCCTAGGCTGAGCTCTGTATTACTTTGCTTGTTTTAATTAAGGTTTCCTGTGAGAACAGACATAGCACAGGCATTGCTAGTTTTGACCATAAAAAGTTTTGTCTATGCAGTACTGGGCCTGAAGTTAAAAGTAACAGTCTCAAAGCCAGCCTTGTAAATAATTTGGAAGGGATTAAAATGTCATCAAATGTGTTCTGGTGGCCACTGTGTTTGTGAGGCTTCAGAATAGTTCACCCTGGAGTCTGCATAACTTGGAGAAGGCAAGAGAGTGCAGAAATGGGAAAAACTTGCACTGGGAGACAGCAGGTAGCAATAACTTGCAGCTGCAGTTGCTGGTTCCTCACACGCACACATACCTCACAGTCTAATGGTGGTGTTTATCCACAAGGTACCTTATGTTAGAATTCTAAGCTTCGTGCTACAGACTTTTTTTTCTTTGCATAACTGCATCAACTAGAAGTAACATACCACTTGTCTCTGTGCTGATGGAGAAGGCAGCTTTTAACAGTTGACCAAATTACTCTACTTTAGCTCTCCTAGCGTATACTGCATCTCCAATAGTGGTTTTTTACCTCAATAAGCTTTGTGATACTAAAGGAGAAAGAACATTCTTAGTTTGTCACCTGAAGCCAAAGCAGGATTCTTGCTCTCAAGTCTTTTCCTATTTCCCAAATTATTGAATATGAATTGCTTCTTTGAGGGGTATGGAGTTTTCAGCAAAAGAGGTTCCACAGATTTTCCTTAATTCCAAATCTTCCTTTAATTTCATCTTGTTACACTGTAGTTATAGCCTTTCCCTGCACAAGATGTAACAATTCCCGATTGATTTGTTTATGTTGTGTGGGTGTATTAAAGTAGGTGCTATATGGAAGGCATACCCTTTGTGTGGGTTTATCTGCCTCCCTTGATTCTTCTGTGTCTGGAAGCTGAACAGCTGGGAACAGACTGGAAATACACCTTGAGGTGTGGACAAAATCCTCTGTTTAGGCTGTTTACAGTTTAGGAGGCTGAGGAAAGCTTTTGGAGTCACCAAGTTTTCAGATTTTTTCCTAGTTTTAAATTTTTCTCCAATACTGCCTTTGTATAATGGCTTACTGCTGATACAGTGAAGTGATTCATTCCTTTCTCCTCCACCCCCCTGTTCCCCCCCAGCAATTCAAGAAAGGAAAATAGGCAAGAAGTAAACTTCAGATGTTTTCTTACAGATTTTACACTTTAACTGTTTAGCATCAGTGAGATGATACTAGTTCTCTAGTGCTGAACGTCTTTTTTGATAAGGTTTTTGTCTCTGTGAAGGTTATTGGCTTCTGTGTTTTCATGGATGATGCTGATTCTACTTAAAATTCATATACCTCCTTGGCTGCTCAGGTTTAGCAGATGAGACTGGGACTGGTGGTAGGCACAAATTACAGGAGAACTTTTTCTGAAGAAAAACCTAGAGCTCAGAAGCACATTGATTGCAGCTGTACCTAAAATAACCAGCAGCACTTTACTGAGTTCTCTAATCTCTAGGAAATCTAAATCTTACAATCTACTAGCTCAGAAAGCTGCTCTTCTGACAGGCAGATGCGGAGAAGTTTTCAGCAATTGAGAGCTCATCTTCTGTCTATTACCACATTAGGGAAGCAGTCTGTCAATAACTATTTTTTCCTTATTTGCTGCTGAAAATTCCTGCCCTGCTTAAGAGGTTCAGGTCTGAGATTATTTTCTGGTAAGGGGCTTCTAGTTATGAGCTTTGTGAATACAGGGGATCAGAGTACATTGACTTTGTATCTTCCAGAGCACAATGCAAGATAGATTTATTTTTTTAAAAGAGGGAGCAATTCTTTTTTTCCTTCTTAACTGCAAATATCTTTATAGACCAGTCAAATAACTGAGCAGAGGAAGAGTGGAAGGATCTTATTTGGGGGACACTGGAGTTTCTCAATTCTTATTTTTGGTGCCTAGACAACTAGTGACTGGTAAGAGTAGGAATTAAACAATCGATGTCATAAGAAATATTTCTAGTTATGGGTACTAAGGAGTTGAAGCTGACAGCATTGATAGTAGCTGTATTCTATCAAACACTATATAGTCTTGTGATTGGATATGAAGGCAATTTTCCTCTTGATTAAAGCCACAGCAGAAAATGTTGAGGTAAAAATGAACACAACCCTTATCATGACCTCAAAGGAGGACTCTCTTTGTGCTTATGGGATTACTCTGCTCGTATGCCATTTGTACTTCTGCTTATAGACTGAACCTATTATCACCAGACAAAGGCTGTTCTGGACAGAGAGCTCAAAGAAAAAATTACCAGTACTAAAGTACCCTGTGGTCTTCTCCATCCCCTGAGTGCCAAGTCCTTTGTTAGGAGTCTCTCCTGCATGTTACATTGACTTGCAGTTTCCCCTCCCAAGCTTAGTGCAGTCAACAGAAGTGGAAGGGGTTTTTTTTGGGTTGGTTTGTTTGGGGTTTTGTTTTTGTTTGGGGTTTTGTTTTTTTTTTTTTTTTTAAAATACCTTCCTTCAGAACTAGCACAGAGCTTTAATCCCAAAGAACAGGAGTCTCCCAGGGTGAGGCAGGAGTGCCCTAGCTGCACTAATCTGCTTACAGGAGGTGCTCACACTGTCCCAAGGTACATTCTGTTTGTCAGGGTCACTGCTGCTGACCAGCTTTTTTTATAGAGGACTCAGAGTTTCAGAAATATATTTTTGTAGACAATGACTAAACTGTGAAACATTGAAATAAAGCATGTAAACAAAAACTTACAGCACTGTCCTCTGTACAGATGTTTTTCTCACTTCACGTCTCTCCTGACTCATTAGAAAATGTTTGATTACTTCTTGGATATATTTTAATAAAGTTCTCCAAAGAACATGGCTGCTGTCTATGGAACGGGGTGGCCTTAGATACAATGTTGAAGGGGGAGGGTTGAAAACCTGTACAGGTGAGTGCATTAGTTCTGCTTTTCTCAAATTAGGTAGGCTGGAGGATCTTCCACACAGTCACTCCCTGGATTAGCCACTCTGGCAAATTATTTTCTTTGGATTCTGGAGCCTTAGCCATCAATCAAGGCTGTAAAGGTGGCAGACTGGAGAAGAAGCCATCTTCAGTGGTTAAGGGACAGCTTTGGATGTAGCTTGGTGGTTACTTACATGACTTCTCCTAAGTGGAAATTGTAGTAACTGGTTTTGCAGCCTTTTAAGTGTGTCGTTTAAATATGCATGTCTAAACAGCAGTAGCTGTCTTCACCTTTTTACAGTAAAATAGTATATGAAATTAATATACAAAATTAGTCCACAAAACTAATTTTTCTAACATATAATAAAAGTTGGTGCAACAGAATTAGCATAGTAAAGTGGTTAGGTATTTAATAAATTGAAGTTAGTTCATGTTTTATGGCATATGCTCCCTGTGTTGATCATTAATGAACATTGGGAAACCCCTTCCCATTCTTGGTGGATTATATCGTTACTCGTCTAGCTGGTGCTGCACGCCTTTGGAATATCCAGCACCATGCTCAGGAGTTGGGATATGGGAAATGCTGGCCTGCTTTATCAAGGCAATTTCAGTCTTGGAGCTGGTGGAATGGGAAGGGGACATAGGACCCCTTGGAATCTTTCATGTGGTGGTACTATTCTAATATATAGCTGATGATCTTACTGTTTCAGTAAAGAAACTTAAGATGTGAGGGCAATGCCTGGTCTTCAAAGAACATAGTACTGATCTTGGATTTACCACAGCAATCACTTGGACACAAGATATAACGGCTCTGCTACCCTTCAGTATGTTTCATGTAGGTATTGGCTCATGTATGCTTTTTATTAAAAAAAAAGGGGGGGGGGGGGGAGGGGAAGTTAGTAAAGCTAGTGGCATGTAGTAAATCTAAACACAGATGCTGTACTGCAGAGGAGGATAAAGCAGAGTTCTGATGCCTCTAATCTTTGTTCTTAAGTTCTGTGTAGCTGTTCAAAATACCAAAGGCAGACCCTGCTTCGAAAAGAGAAGTCTTTTGATGTAAAAATCTGTCTTAGAATCTGTTCAGTATTTTATCTGTGTTCCACATCACATCATGAAGAGTACAGATAATGGGATGAAATACACTTCTAAGGACAGGCATATTGTACAAACTGGTATTGGGCATCACCTTACCCATTTCCCAGTACAGTAAATTGCATCCCTCTAACCAGAAAGTAACAAAGATGAAATGCCATCTACTTAAAACTACCTGGCCCACTCACTTTGAATAAATGAAAGTGAAAGCAAGCAACTTGGCTTTGACACTGAATTAGCAGCAGCAAAAGCGATTCCCCCAGAGTGAGCAAACAATACATGCACAAGAAGAGAGTAACTTATTTCCACAAGAATATTCTTGTTCTGGTATGGAGTGCAGCATCTGTTCCTCATTCCTGTTTCCATCAGTGCTACTGCATCTTTACCGCACAAGCAGAAAAAGATGTAAAGTTGCATGTCACTTCTCTGACCATGTAGGATTCTGAAGTATTTTGTAGTTGTTCAAGTTTGTTGAAAAGGACATGGTTTAGGGCATTGCATTATTCTGCATGAGAACTGTTCAAATGTATCAGCTAATCATGACAGCTGCATGCCATTAACATAATTATTTTGTATCCTAATCACCCCCTAAATAAATGCCTTTTCAAAATCTGCCCCACTTAAAAGAAAAGCACCTAGATCTGTGACACACTGCTGTTATTCTGGGACCAACATTTACACATGCCAATCTGAAACATTCAAAAACACAACCCAGATCCCACATCTCAAGCTGTTACTGTACTGGTTC